CTCTTATTTAAGTGAGGAGTCAGAATTTATTCGATTGTTATTTCACTCTTGGAATACCTTGGTGTGAAATCGCATTCAGACCGAGCAAAAATTTATATGAAGTGATAATAATAAAATAAAAAGAGTGATAATAAAGTGAAAATATCGCTGCCCAGAATTACAAGAGAGAATATTTAAGTCAAATGTAGGACGGACACTTATATATACATATATTAATATATTTATACCAGTAAATATTTCATAGTGCGTAAAGTATACCAGCAACGTTGGAATATGATAAAATCATTCTTCAATCTCGAATAGAAATATTCATTTGACGATTCTGAGTGGAGAATTCACTTCACATGAGTGAAAAGTTACTCGTCTTCGTGTGACTCGGCTGTGGAATTTCACTCGAAGAAACTTGAAAGAGTATAAGACGCGAAAAATGCTGCGGCGGTGCCTCAGAGATTTTAAATTTAAGTCGAAAATAGCTATGTATCCCTTTATGCATAAGTTTTATAAAAATTGTCTTTAAATTTTTATACATATATATTAGCTAATTTATAAAACTTAAAAGGGACCGTCGTCGCAGTGTTTTAAGTTTTATAAACAATTATGGGTAACACCGCTACGGTATACTTGAAACGTAGAAGGTCAACGATATTTTTCTCTCAAACTCCTGATAATTTCATTCAAAATTTGATCTACGTTGACGATAAGGAGCGCCAATGTCGCATTTTATTTTCGACTGACACAAATCCGATTCTACTTTTAGCGCTCATAGCAATACGCATTGACATTGGTCGTTCCGCTTTCAAGGTGTAACGCGTATACAGGGTGTCGCGTAACTCGGCGAAATCAGAGGGGAGAGGATCGGGTCGAGAGACTGCCAACCATCAATTTCCGTTCGGAATTACCAAACCCATAATATGCACACATGCGCGCTCGGACGAATCTCCGGTCGCTCGGTTTAACGAAGTCGCATGATTAAGAAACCGCATACCAGCGCGATCATCCACCGTAGAAAAGTTGCATCATATAACGCGACTTATTAGAATCGCCGGTGAGTCGCCGGAAGTGACCGCGTGTACCGCCGCGAATCATCGTGTCAGATCGGATCGAATCTCAGAATTTTCCGCTCGCGTGAGCACCATTCATCTTCAATTGAATACCACGTGACCGCGACTTCTTACACCCCTCTTACCAATTTTACAATACATATTGTTAATACATGTATTTATTAACGAGCAATTTTATGAAATCACTCCGTTTTTAATAAAAATAAAACTGAATAACTAGTTTAAAAAAATATTTTTTTTAATTATATATTTATACATATATATTTAACTGTACGTATATAATTTATACATAATTAATGTATAAATATATATAATTACATAATATATTTTTTATTTTATCTTATGAATGGATTAAATTTATATATATATATATATATATATATAATATATATATATATATATATATTGTTTTATCTTATGAATGGATTAAATTTATATATATA